AAGGCAGCAGCAGCAGCAGCCGCCCGCTACTTCTCTCCGGGTTTCTATTGTGCGAGTTACGATAACAATAATTGGGATTATTATTTCACGGTGGGAGTTTCGAACGAGAATGGTAGTTTTCGGGTGGAAAACTTTCCCTCTCCCCTCTGAAGATCTTTCTTTGGGAGCTTAAAGGACGGCTTTAATCAAGCCTCTCCCAGGCCGCTCACAGATGGTGACTTTATTATCGACATTCAGTATAATTAAGTCGGTAGTTAAGTATTCTCTAAACGGTGGGGAAGGAGTAGATCCTTTCGTCTTTCCATCGAAATCTGCTGGAACGGAAATGTCTATCCTTCTTCGTTACGATGACGTTTTATTGGATAAAAGACGCAGTTTTAGCGAAAAATACAGAGAAAGTAATTTACAATGCACTTACGTTACATTTACGTCAGCGAAATGTGAAATAAAATATTATTTTATTCATTTAATATACATTCATTTGCATTCGTAACTATTGCGCACAATTTAATGTATAATTTTATAATTTATATAAGTCTTATTTACACAGCGCGAATTCTGCGAAATATAATTAATTTTACGCAAGAATAATGGAAATTTAAAATTTGCACACGGTTCAGTATACCATAATTCTAATATTATGAGCATAATATTGTAATTTTAATTAAGAGAGCTGGTTAATATACACATCATATACATCAGTAAATATTTAGGGACGTAAACATATGTTGCTCATTTTGATATAAATTCATGGAGCTTGGTCGTCTAGACTCATTGCTAAAATAAGATGATATAACGACTATAATTTCGTTAATTTACGTAACATTTTCGGGAGCGACGTCGATGAGCGTAACAAAATAAAATGTGGAAAATAACGTGAAATCTTTGAGAAGTTTCGAGATTTATTCTCAATTCGAGGGAGTTTATTACGAAAGAGAGACGGAATATTATTTCGTGGCGTAATTAGTTGACACCGCATGCGAAATTCATCGGTGCTCACGCTAACGATAAAAGCACCGAATAGATCTCCCTGACTTTTACTCGTCCGTTATTTTCGACATGACGTTTAATTCTCCGATAAGCGGCGAATAAAAATTAGATTTCGTGAGAGCGTGCTCGAGTAGGCGGAAAATTTCTTTTGCGGCGGCTTTGATAGGATTCCCAGGAATCTCCCGATATATCGCGTGTCTCTCGCGGAAGACGCATGGTCCCGATAAAAAGGATTGCATCGGGAAAGGCGATCTCGAGAATTACTTCGGAAAGAGGTAGGAGATGTAGGAGGAGGGAGGCGAAATAAGAGAGCGAAGAGTGTCCGCGTGAATTTATGTTTCGCACGCATGAGAATTTATGGGCCGCTAATTGAGGGGAACCGGCATCGCGAAGGAAGGGGGAGAGGTGGGGAGACGAAGGGGACGAAGGGGGAAGAAACGCAGTGCGGGAGGAGGAGACGAGGGGATGTGCGCAACTTTTAGGATTAATTCTCGGATAAAATGGCCGGCCGCACGCCACCCTTACGGCAGATTCGATGGGACGGGCAGCCGTCGGTTAACGTTTGTCAGGCTAATTAATTAACAGCTGGCAAACTTTCGCCTCCTTCCCTTCTCTTCGCCCGATGTCAGGATGTTAAAATTAATCCTTTCCTTTTATTAATCCTTTCCTTTTTAAAAAAGCTCGACGTCCTCGAATATTCCGTTCTGTATCGTCATGACGATACAGGTAAATGGATTGCGACTTCGTAAGTGCTTCTAGTTTTATGTTAAAATAATTCCAACTGTTGACTCATATTTACTGCGAATATTTATATAAGCACGATATATTCGAGCAACTCTACATTTTAATCGTTTTCAATCGCGATTATTTAAATTGTTCTTAATATGCTTTTGGTTTATATCTCAATTGATCTGTTTTTATTGCAATTAGTCGATGCATCTCGAGTTTTTCTGTGAATTATTTGCAGTACATTTACAGTTAGAAACTGAAACATTTCAGGTTTAGACCTCGTCAACTCCGGAAACCGCTTCGAATCCGTGCGGAAACTCGACTAAACCGCGAGCGCGCGATGCGAACTTCGATAAAATCGCTCGTAAAATTATTAGTAGATACGGTCGACGTAGTTTCCGTTCGCGACGACGTCCCGATCTATTTTACATTGCAATTAAACGAATGTACGATGAAACGAAATGCTGAATTATGTGTAAAAGCTCGCTTTTTATCAAAATTAAAAACAAAATGAAGTTAAGAATAATTAAGGAACGAGGTAAAAAACACACTTGTAAATTTCATGAAAGGTGAAACGAGAAAAAGACTAGTCATTAATTATTTATTTAATCCGGACGTTAAGTATGTGAGAAATTGTTTATTCCAACAATTTTTAAAATGATTCACACCTTTTTTCTGCGAAGAATTTAAGAGTAAAAAATATCAAAATTGTACAAGATTTTTATTTATGATTTAAATTTTTATTTATGATTATCTGCCTTATAATATTATTGCAAATTTTTTTTTTTCTAAATAATTGTAAAATGTCTAAAATTGCAAAACATTAGTTATCAATGTTTTTTCTCGCATTTTGAATATCTCGATCCGTTCGAACATATGTAAAAACATCAAAAGCCGCAGAATCAAAAGCTCTCGCGTTTATGAAGCGTCCCGCGAAGTGGAACTTTACGTCATGCACTCGAGTTACTTCTTTCGAATTGTTGCGATCATCATTCGCCGCTGAAGAACTATACGCTTTTTGTAGCCTGGTTTTATCTCTCGCTTTTATATTCCTTCTTAGTGTGCTGTATTTTTTAGGTCAAGATATTTGCGCGGTTAAATGCAACATCTTCTAAGTGTAGCATATCCGCGATTGCGTTTCGACATAAAGTCTGTTCGGTTCCTCGCAAGTCTATTTGTCTTCTGCTTGTTTATCGGTTATTCTGAATTGCTTCCATTGAACGTCTTTATTAAAGATATTGTATATCGCTTCGTGAAAAATGCCACATCGAAGCCAAGTGTGTTCATAGCAACCTTGTGTTTGAAATTTGTTTGAAATGGCTTCCGATGAAAACTAATAACAATCGTTGCGCTTGCTGCAATAATCGAGATGCAATTCTATGTCTTCGATTCGTATTTTATTCATCAGAATCAAAGTTGAGGTTCTTGCGTTTATAATCATTTATTAAATATATGATTTATTAATAATAAAACTGGACGATTTATTGGCATAAGATTATCTTCATATTTATTTTCTATTGTTCATGTGTTTACATTACGAATTTTTATTCGCAATAATTGAATAATTAACGCTTAAACTACTTATATATCTGAGCTGCTCGAATTATTCAGCAATTCTGCGCGAATCAGGAAGCGAAGATGATTTCCTGTCGCGTTGGAAATTTCGTTAGGATACTCGAGGCTCGGAAAGAAGTTATTTTTACGAAGTCAGATTTAGGAGCCTTGCCGGGTGTCGCGCTTTAATCTACATCGAAATTCTAATGTGGCGCGTTTCTTTAGCATTTTATGCTAATGCCCCTGCCGCGTCGTACCCCTTAAAGTTCACTTTGACAGCTTTACCGGCAGCGGCAGCTGATGAAAACGGCGACGGTACGTCAAACGCATTTCGCACGTGCCAAGGATAGGAAGAACGGACAATGCTTTGTCATGTTTTTAACATGATTTCGCTCTTAAAGTAATTGAGAAATTTTGTGAAAAAGATATTCGCCGAAAATTATATTTTAACGATTCTATTTCTTATAAAAGTTTCGCATTCTGTGAGTAAATACTTATTCAAATCCTTTTTAAGAAGAGAACATAATAAGTAGTGAAATATTGAAGTAAAATCATAAAATGTTAAACCTTAAATAAAATTAAAAAATATAATGAACAATTAGGGAATTTAAATAAAACATATATATACTCTATTTTAATATATAATTATCAATTGATTGTTAAAGAAAAATTGCGCGATTCTTGCTGCAACTTAATTTCCGCAATCTGCCAATTCAATTATTAGGACCGAACGTACCGGATGTTTCATTCGGTGAGACTCGGAAAGACACGGCTTCTTTTAATAATCCAGCAGCGCCATCGTCCATTATACGGCTCTCACTTACAAAGTATAATGTCTCCTCGTTTTTACGCTCAGTATGCGTCCGATTTTAATACTCTTGCATCTATTTTCGTTTGCCCTCCCGCATTTTTCTTCGTTTTTTTTCCGACGCTCGCTTTCTGCTTCTCACTTCAAAGAAATCATTTTCCATTCCGCTTCATCACGCTCAGCAGACAAGCCGAGACAGAATTTTCATGATCTGTTTCTTATCGTGCGAAGAAGAAGGATCATACATCGTATCGAAGTCGTAAGATTTTCCATAATGTATTCTCTTTAAATCACTTCAATTTCAAATCATTTCATCATTGAAAAGCACACAAGAACTTTCTGTACAAATAAATATAAAAGAGTTACGTTTGTGTATTATAATTTAAAATACAAAATTATATATAATTACTATTATCTTATTTAATAAATTATTTGTTATCCGTAAAATATGAATGATTACAAACACTGCAAATGATTTTGACAAATAATACATATATACATATATACAATACATACTTATGATGTGTTTATTTTATTATCAATACACTCGTACAGTAATACAATCTATTATTGTCAGAATGTTTTTATCGAGTAAATATTTATAATTACATTGATTAATATTACTATTTCACATTGTTGGTTTATACATCTAATTATATTAATAATAATTTATAATTATATATATTTATATTTATAAACGAACCTTTAATCTGCTTAAGTAGGAAATCCTGAAAATACAAGAGAACCAAGTTTTTACTTTCGAAAGTTACATCAATGAAATTAAAATGAAATTTACGTCTTGCGGAATTTGGCTAACTTGTATTTTTAGTGTACCTTCCGGACGACACGTAAATGCATCGATAGCAATTGATTCGCTCAAAGCGCTTAATTTCGTTTTTGTTCTCATTCTCTGTTGCAGAACTCGAATAACCAGGTTGCAATTGCCGGACAAAATCAGGTAACCAGTGCCGGCGAGACCCAGGGCGGACCCAACACGGTTCTCCGAGTCATTGTGGAGCACATGCTTTATCCGATCACCCTCGACATACTTTATCAGGTAAGCACGCAAAGCCGGACCACCTGGCCGACCCATTTATTATTTCTACGTTTTATATTGAAAGCGGTCGCGCTGAATGCAGTATCGCGTGTAATGCGACACGATGAATTATATACATATTCAAATATATACATGTGCGGAAAGAGTGTCGAAGAAAGAAACGGAAATTTTTCATTGCTCTCTACATGGGTGAAGTACTTCAGGAATTTTTTGAAGAATTTTTTACTGGATCAGATTTGAAAACTGGGACTCTTGTCGTAAAAAAGAAAAAAAAAGAGAACCCGTGTAAAAGATTTCTCCACATACAAACCGCGTGCTTGCGGGTTATAAACGAGGAGAACGCCCCTAATTTCCCGGGGACGCCGAAAGGGCTAATGTAATTTAACTTCGACGGATGCCGAAAAATGTCGCGCGACAGAGTTTGAATTAGTCGAATTTCGCAGACAATCCCGCGGTCGTTAACTCGCTCGCGGATATTTGATCAACGTTTACAAGTCGGGCGTGAATTCCGCTTGATTAATCCGCGCGGAGCCAGAGTTGCGGCCGCGGCGGAAGTTACATCGCGTTTTACATATTGAGTGCTTGTCGTCTGCGAGCGCTACTGCGGGCGACTGTTTGCAGTTTTAAAATTAAATATACCGCCGGTCGTTCCGCCGAGATAACTGAATTCTAAATAATTGATTGTTAAAGTTATAGAATAATCTCCTTGCCGCGCCCGCGCGACCATCGGAATTGCCAGAGTTGTTTGGCGCGATACATTTTATACGACAATCTTAAGACACTAATTGCACTTGCAACGAAATTGACATTTCGCTTCGTTATCGAAACGCTTCGAAGTTGATAAAATAAATTGCAGCGATTTTAAATGTTATGCTAAAGCAATAAATTTTATGGAAATTTTTATATGAAAGTAAATTTTTTCTGAAAACCAGTAAATGTACTCGCGCGCACATGAAAAAAATAATTGAGTTTCCGATATTACAGATTGACAATAAAATTAATGTAGATTTTTATTTTTACGTGAAATTTTTAATTTTTTACATTTCACAAAAATACTTTTTAATCTTAAATTAAAATGAAAACAAAACCTATTTATATCATAATTCACGATTTTGTCAATATATATTTTTGTATATTTATAAAAAAAAATATATATATATATTTATAAATATATATACAAAAATATATATAAAATATATTTTGTATATTTATAAAAATATATATATTTTTTCATGCTTATAAAAATAGAACTTGTTTTCATAATAAGAGGCAAATATCATTAAAGAAGGGTGAGTCTTACCCCTGAGGATTCCGGATAATAGGATAACCGGAGTGCTTCCGGTTCGAGTTGAGTGGCCTATGCATTTTTAAACGTGCTCAATAGCGTCGCAAATAATATCTCCCAACGATATGGTGTACAAAGATGTCTTTCGCAAGTACGTGAAAGTAAGATGCGCCTTATTGTTGTGCCCCTGGGAAAAAGTAATAACATCAACCTGACACAAGTACTTATAAAAGTTGTCCCCACATCGAAAGAATTTAATCAATTTTTGTTTACGTTATCTTACACATTAATTATTATGTAATATCGATAATACATAGTGAGAGATTCAAATTGATTGAATGCTAAATCGCAGCGCAACAGAATGATAAATTTCTCTCGTTTCCCGTTATTTCCAAGAATTATTGCAAAAAACAACTTGCAAACTAAAGTTATTCATGTAAACATATAGGATTTGCGTCGAGTCCATCTCGATACAAAAGCTTTTTGCTTTTCTCCAAATGTCTCGGAGGAATTGCAAATGTGAGTAGCGTGTGAGGAAACTATCCTTAACACTATCGATTTACCCGAGTGCGCGTATATAGAGGATAGCGTTTTTGTTTTTTTTTTCCCCTCGAACATGTAGAATCAGGTCGGAGCGAAGAGAGCAACGACGACGACGTTGCTAAGCCGATAATGGACCGGGTGGAAAACATTCCCGGATTACGAATCGACGATTGGCCGGTTATATGTGTTCGGTTGCGTAAGCAGGCTTACACGATGGTCCCGGCAGCGGTGGGACTGGATTTGTGTCCGCGATTTGTAATCAGCTCGAAAGATTAACTCGCGTCGAAGCCAGCCCGCATAGGGCTTGTCATTGGTCGGACAGATTCTTTAATACATTCCGGGGACATGTCGCATGATTTTTGTACCATAAAAAAAATTCTGTTGGATGATGACTGACAAAAAAAAAATTCAGACTGATATTTATATCCAGATAATCGGATGACGAGAATAGTTTTTGTAAGAAATTCGTCTCAATGTGAAAAGATAGAGACATTCCTTCAACCGCATTCTCGATTGCTATCGATATCTGAGATCCAGAGATGTCAGGCGACATCGTTATAAAAAATTCTTTACAAAATCAATTTTATAGATTGTCTAACGTAAATCTTGTGATCTGAATTATTTAACGATGAATAGCTTAGTTTCTTGTTTCTGTCTTCTAACGAAATGTCACAGCGTCTTTTAAAATTTTAACGACGCGGACAAATTGATTGGAAATTGATTCGCGTATAAGCCACGCGCGCTTTACCGACGTCTGACGAAAGGTTGACCTGTTCTACTGCACGTGTAATCCGATACAGTGCTCTCTCAAGGAGAGAGCGTACAAATGCTTCTTTCTCAAGAGGGATTAAGCACATTGCCTTGAAATCCCGATCCTGTGTTCGCTCTTCGTTACTTAAAGCGACTTTTACAAAATACGATACTAAATAGATATTGCGATGTTCTTTTATAAATATAAATTACACATAAATGCGTTTCTTTTTTTATTTCGAAAGAATGTAATCGGCTTCGAATAGATATTTAAAGAACACGTACATTGAGACGCGTTACAACTTTATTATACGCTTCTTTTTCAAGCACGCTCTTTTGATGAAAAATTGCCTCTCCTTGGATTTCTCGACTTTGCTGAAACAATCGTAAACGCGGTCCCCCAGTTCTCGCGGCCGGAACTTCGATTGTTTCTTCCGGTTGAATTGAATTTTAACTTTGTTCTTTATTTGTTCCCGGTTTGTCTGTTGCTCGGCCGCGACCTCTTCGCGCGATTAACCGACAGCCTCCGGCGGCGAAGCCAATTTACGTGGCGGCGGTATTTTTTCCACCCTCTTGCCGTCTTCTCCCCGCTTCTTAGAAATCCTCCTCCGATATTTAACTTTACGGTCTCCCGAGCCGAGGCGGTTAAATGCCGCGAAAAGTCCGTCTTCGCGGGGTAGAAACTTCTCGCGCCATCCCCGTGAGGGATGGAAAGGTTGCGTCCCGAGAGGGTTGTGCAAGAAAGGGGTGCAGGTGTTCAGGTGCGCTCTCTCGGCGCGGAAACCGGCGCTCTGAAAACTTTGTAATCCAGCCGATGCTATTAGTCGGCGTCTCTGCGCCGGAAAATTCTTAATGATCCATGAGCTTGGCGAGGAGAAAGATTGTATCGCCTAAAAAAATTAAAGCTTTCCTTGTGAAGTTTTTCCTAATCCGCGAGGACTAAACTTCAAGTTGAATTAAAACACAGCAATTTTTAATGACGTGCTCCAGAAAATAGAATCAATTCATTTACCCAGCGTAATGTGTTATCTCTTGTGACGTATTTAATGTGTATTGGTACAAAATACATTTCTGTTAGTCTCAATCACCGATGTGAAGAATCTATATTTTATTCATTTTCGCAAAAAAATTTTCAAGAAAAAAATTATATAGGCGACTCTCGTAAAACATAAATTAGATTACATGACCGATGGACCCAAGCAATAGCGAGTCGAGTCATTGCTTCCAAAATTTCTGCTTTCTTTTTTTATTGTGTTTCAAAAAATGCGCTCTTCGAACGCATCGCGCGTTCCTTTTCTGATTTCTATTTGCGAAACCCTCGGGAACGAAACTTACGAATATAAAAAAAACTTACGAATATAAAAAATCGGTCATAATGTTCCGCGAACTCAGGGACATAAATAAAGAGACTTAACAGCGAGCATTTAACATTTATGTCTCGATAAAATAACTCGGGAACTTCGTCGAGGCATTCGACGACATAAATTGTTGTTACTGGGGCCCAATCTGCCATCTGAGAATTAAGTTTTGCTTTATTAAGACCCTGAAGTCTGAGAGATTATCGAATGAAAGGTGATTTTGCAAAGTGTAGCTTTTCATTAATTTTATTTTTTATCTTGAAACCACGCCAATATAGAGTTTAATAAAGATAATTTAAAAATCTGCTAATGTGTAAGATTCCGTTTTTTAATATTAATCTCTCTAACATATAAATAGAAAGAATCTTTTTTAACCCATAAATTTAAAATAAGTTTGAGATTAATAAAATATATAAAAATATATATGCACAAGACAGTTACACATAAAATCAATACACTTTAATGGTATTATACATATGTATTTTGTGGCGAGAATTTTTTCATTTTACATCAATACGAAAAGATAAATTTGATACTTCGAAATCACTTTTTCCTATTATTATAAAATCGACAGAGATTATATAAATTGCCATGAGTATACGTAATAAAAATTACTCCAAATCGCGAATTATAAACACGAAAGGACAAACTTTATAAATGGATCGTCTCTCATCTACATTTCATATTTAGTGAAATATTTTCTCTACAATTTTGCGTTACATATGTAACGTGTAATATTTTTGAAATACACACCGACGCTATTAAAGAATTACCGGAATATATTAAATGTTTCGTGAGAGTGTCGAGAATCGAAATGGCAAAAATGACGAAAGGAACGGAGATGGGGATCGTAAATTAATCACTCGACGATGATAGCCGGCAGTTTGGCGGTATGATCTCGATGGGAGGCGACGAAGGAACCCGAAGAACGGTGACTCGAAGAAAACCGGGGAGAGAGCGTGAAAATGGGTGAAAGAGGCAAGGGAAGAAGGGGGCTGGAAGTTAGCGCGTACAGAGGAAAACATTAATCACCTGCCTCCTCGTACTGTATGATTAATGGCCGT